GCATTCACCTGATAAGGCACCGTGCGACTTCTTTTCAGAAAAATGCATTTGCCCATTGTATGAAAGCGTTATGCAGACGTAGAGGCCATTCACAAGGCTTGCACCGGCATACTGGCGGCCAACGAGCTAAAACACTCGTTCGACATGCTCTTGGGCCGTGCAAAAGCGGTACTGGAGCAGAAGGAGACTGCTTTGAATAAAATAAATTTTGCCGAAAAAATCATTTCTGTTTTCTTTTTTAAGTCCTGTTTACTTTGGAACGCACCTTTTTTTTGTAAAGGATTCAGTTCCTTTGGTACGAGTCAAACATTAACACGTTTCGTAACCAAAACATTATCCAAAATCTGTTGGATCGATCAGTAATAGAAGTTGAGATTCTCTGCCATCTCTCTGATGCCAAAATGACAGTATTCATGGATGGACGCGTCACATATCATGACAAGTTTTCGTTGACTTCACAACCATCACTGAATGATTCTGCAACTTTTTCAACAATTTCGTAGCTGTGATTCCATTGAAAATTTCAAGTAAACTTATTGTAAGGAATCGACAATATAATTTGTATTATTCACTTATACAAGTAATGAAATTTAAAACAATGCGTCGAATCATATCTTTTAATTTAAGCGGTTTGCCTTGAAGATTTGGTTTATAAAACTTAAATCTGTTAGCGATTTCACTGCACAAACCGGACTTAAAATCAACATGACAAGAAGAAAAGCATGTGTATCAACACAACTGAGATTCTAGTCCCATAGATGGTCTACGCGCATTTTGAAGAAATCGATGGCTTTTCCTATTTAGGCAGCGTTTTCCCAAAATATGGTGGGTCAGCAGCAGATGTACGTGATCGGTAATATCCAAAGGTTGCCCTGCAATCGTTGTGTTGGATAAAGTTTGGAGATTGACTCATATGTATGTACTCGTATATATATCCAGACGTACGAAAATGAAGCTATTCGATTCAAGCGTAAGTAAATGGTAATGGATAGGCCACACTTTGCTAAATTACACAACAACAGTGCTGGATTGGAATTTGGAAATATGTAGCAATAAATAAATCTCATTACGATTTCTCTGTTGAGACCCAATGTTCCTATCCAGTCACTATGGAAAAATATATCCTATCACCTAAAATGTACAAATCTTGAGTATTGGTTATATATTGGTACATACTTACATATGTATATACATAAGTATGATGTAGTGAATCGTAAGCAATAAAAAACTCAACTTTGCATTATAGGTATGTACATGCATACGTTTTTTCCGATTTGTGCGAAATCACAGGCATATGTTTATATGTATATTCAAATACAGAAGAATATAATCACACACACATGCACAAATGGACTATATAAAAATCAAACTTCATTTATTTTCGATCATTTGGAGTAGTTTGTATAAATTGTGGTCATATGCTTTATGTATAAGATATATTTATGTAAGCGCAACGATACGTTGGTATAGTATATACATGTACGTACGTATGTATTTTCATGCGATTCGATCGCATACGTTTGTAAAAACATACATACGTAAGTTTATTCCTTGTGAATTGACGAGCCGCCGTGTAACAACTGTTAGGTAAAAGGGAAGAAACCATTGCAACACGGACATATCTATGTAGATACACACATACATATGTACACAAGTGTAAGTATACTTATCTATACGTATATACATATGTGTATGTACACTTATTGTGTTATTGACATTTACCTGCAAAAAGGCAAACACACCAATAATGTGAACTTCGCTTATCAAAGAAGGGATGATATTCGTTTACATTCGAAGATGTTCCTTTTAAATGTTCTCACGCTTAACACGATCGACCTTGTTCGCCAAATCCGTTACTTTAAACTAAAAAGGAATGTTTGCGAATATTCTTAAAAATACGTCGCATGTTGGGAAGTTACACATATACATACATATGTATATATGTACATACATACATACATATATAGAAATGTACTCGTTAATAATGGAAGCCGAGTAAATTAAATTAATAATTGAACGTGGTTTTATTTCGGGAATGAAATGATCAGTAAATAACGATTTTATTTCACAAAATTCGTTTACTAACATTTTATTTCACAAAAATAACAATAGATAGAAAGTAATCAATGCATTTTAATAATAAAAAAATTAAATTTTATTTGGAAAACGCAGTTTTGATTTCGAAATACAGCTTATGATTTTTTAAAGTTTTCTTCCTTTTAAAATCAATTTACAATTATTTTTTAATATGAATATAAATTGAGACATTAATTTTTTTACAAAAACATAGTTGCAATTCTGTGAAATGAAAATATCTTAAAAATAAATAAACATATGTATATAGTGAAACTCTTTCTAACTGGGCATACACCGTCGCAGTATTTTTGTCTAGGTTTGGGGAATGACAAAAACTTACGAGTACTATAAGTTGAAAATATGTTTTTAGACTATCGAAAATGAACTTAAGTTGTGATTTGTAAATATTCTATGTTTTATAAAATTATGTATACATATGTATATCTAACTGACAAATTTGTATTATATTAATATATTTACATATGTTCGTTTGTATACAAGTTTACATTTAATTATAGGCATTACAAAAGTTTAGCTTGGTTGAAAAAATTTAATTATAGTCGATTTTTTAAGCCTTGATTGATTAAGTTTAAGCTGTTGAGTTTCAAAATGAGTCTCTACATTCTTTAAGAGATTGAAGGCTATAAGGTCATCTCTTGCAAATTGCTTCAATAAAGCAATATGTTCAAATGCGTCTTTGTACGATCCTATTGGCTCCGCAATTTCTTCAATTGTTTCGTCATCGGAGTCACTTATCTCTGCAAGGTTTGGCTCAACTTGTATTTCAATAGAATTTTCTTCAGTAAAGACAACTTTATCAATTTTAACAAAATCGTCAAAATTAAAAGGAAATACATTTTTTAAATTTGTGTATGTGGCCCGAAACTTATTATCCTCTTCATCAAAATTGGGCACACTTTGATTGGTTTGTGGAAAACCAGCTTTAAGAAAGCAGTTTTTGATGGTTGTGGCTTCAATTTTATTCCACGAGGTTTGAATGAAGTATAAAGCTTCAAGAACATTAATGGAATTTGCCAACTCTGATGCCGAACTCGCTGAATCTATTTTTGGGAGCAAGTGTTGTAACATTAAGCTTCTATATTCAATTTTAAAATTGTGTATTATGCCTTGATCAAGAGGTTGGCAAACTGCAGTTGTAATTGGAGGCAAGAAAATTATTTTAATGTTTGTAAAGTTCATATGACTTTGATGTGATGCTGCAATATCCAAGAACAAAATAATTTTCCGATTTTGAAGTTTCATTTTCCTATTTAGCTGAGTTAGCCATGCAGTCATGATTTCACGAGTCATCCATGCTTTGTTGTTAGATTTCCAAACCACTGGAAGCTCATTTAAAGAAAGATGTTTAAATGGTCGAGGAAGGGTGTCTTTTCCTACGACCAAAAGCTGTTCCTTTTGCCCAGCCATGTTTATGCAAAACAGTATTGTTAGCCTCTCCTTACACAATTGGCCACTCATACATTTTTCGGACTTAAGACCGAGAGTTTTGTCAGGTAATGCACGAAACAATAGTGCGCTTTCATCGGCATTATAAATGTCTTCTGGCTTGTAGTCGTGCAGCAGAGATGGTAGCTTTGCTTTGAATTGCTCAGCATCCATCGAACTTACATCTGAAGTTTCACCAGATATGCTCCTAAAAGCAACATTATTTCTTATGCGCCACCGATTTAACCATCCATCTGATGCAACAAAATTTAATACACCCAACTTCTGCGCTACTTCTTTCGCCTTAGCTTGTACAATCGGACCAGAAATAGGAATGTTTTGCCTTCTAGCTTTAGTGAACCAGTCAAAACACATTTTGTCAATATCAGATCCCCCTTCTTTTATAAAACTTCTCTTTTGAAGAACATTAGCTCCAGACTCCCATTTAGAACGAATGATTTCTCTATTTTTTTTAATTTCTGCAGCTTGTGATTTGCTAATATAGAACCTTCAAATATAAAGAAACTATAATAATTGAATTCCGTACATAATTAAACTTTACCTTTTCGCAATCTCACGAACACTTATTTTTTCTTTTTCGAACACATTAATAATTTCCATTTTATCTTTAATAGACAAAACATTTTTTGTCGGTGGCATTTTGCTAATCTTTTAAAACATAACACGATTCAATGAACTTGAATTAAATAGACTCTTTTAAAGAGAGCTAGCTACAAATTACAACAAGTTGATAATTGTTTATGTGTAAGAGTATTAATGAAAACCATGGGTTCATAAAATTTGTCCTGTATTGGGAGCTGTCCGGTTTTAGGAGCTGTCCGATTATGAGAGCTGTCCATATTGGTCTATTGCAATGTATAAGTACATATATTTAAAAGATAGTGCAATTTTTAGAAACGCTCTATAAGCTCATACATAATACATCTATTAAATACAGTATATAGTGTGTGGATATATAAATGCAATACAGATTTATTACACAGTAAAAGTATATTTCGCACGACAAAATAAAGCAAAAGTTGTATGTTTTAATATTTGCCTATCGTTTATAAAAATTTCCATTATTATCACATCGTGTTAAATGTTTAATAAGTATTTTATAAATTTGTAATTAATTTTATACATATATCGTCTGGCAACATTTCAACGTTTTCCTCATATTTCTCCGAATTTTAGGAAACGACCAGAAAGCGATAAAATAACGAATCATATGAAATAACAAATAAATTCCAGGTGCAATTTTTACTTAGGAATTACGAAAACACTAAAGAATTGATTTTCAGTTGCGGCACACCAGTATTAATCCCTTAAGTTTCTTTTGTAGATGAATTTTCTTTTGTTCTTCAGGTCAGTTGCGAGCGTGTGAAAGTCACCCTAAAATAGGTACTACTTTTTACGAATAAGCGGAGGAATTGCTTTGTTCGTGCAAGGGCCAGAGTATAAATAACAGGCCGCAATGAACGAAATTTTACAGTTGTTGGCGAGAAGTTGTGTTGAATAGAATTATATGGTGAAAATATCTTTAGTCAAATGAAGGAAGTGAATGCTGATGTATATGTGTACCAGAAGTGAGCTGAGTCATCAAAATTCAAGGCCAACAAAGTTTGAAGGTGTGTGTGTACATGTGCATTGCAAATTTATAAAAATCGGAACAAAGAAAAGAGCAAACAGTGCCTCTTGGTAATAACAGTCGTGGCAAATTAAATTTCTTGTCAAAATGGTTACAAATTATGAAAATGTTTTTGTTGAACAAGATCCAACAACGCTTTGCGGATGGGTTCGTAATTTCCGTATCAAACGATCAGAAATGAAAAGAAAGTTGCGTGGCAATTTACGTGTAAATGCGATGTTAAATACAGCTCTTTTGACAGCGGAAGCTGAATTACGTCGCAAGCAGAGAGAACGTTTTCGTCGTTGGGCCGAGTTCCAAACGAAACTAGACGATAGTTACGCCATCAGCAGTTATGTAAAGGGAAAGGTGTCTGAAGAGGAGGAAGCTGAACGTCAGAAAAAGGTGGATAATTTGTGGAAAAGTGAACTTAGTGACTTGGATTCCTTTATGCGATCGCTTAGCAGCAGTACTAATAAAGATTGCGATGTAAAATGCGCATTTAAAAATGAATATAATGTAAAAAGTGATAATTGCAATGTGTTGCAAAGTATTGCAGTAGTTAGTTAATAGTTTCAGATGTCTGAATTGTGTATTTGTAGTATAGTTTTATCAAGCAAGTTTTTCATTTGCAGTCAATGAAGCATCGAACAAAGTGTTCCATAATGTGAAAATGAAATCCGTGTGAGTTGACATGACACCATTTTCTGGTAGAGAAAGCCAAAGCCAACGAGACTGGGCTGGGCGAACCCGAGCCGAGTTTTGGGAGCTACTTACGCACGACTGATGTGTGGATGATCAGCTCAGATATTACTCAATCGGTTCGTAAAACTAATATTTAAACAAAACTATATAAATTGCGATGTTTATTGTATATGAGTCTAATTTAACACAAAGCAAAATTGTAAAGCCATCGCCATTTTGTGTGTATAACAATCGATATTATATTCACTTCGGAAGTCGACTTCGGCAATCATGCCGAAAGTTGTCTATACATACACACATAAGACTTTGGAGTGTATCGTGTATTGCACATGACTAATTTACTCGATATTTCAATTACCTTTTGATGGTTATGTAAAAGCTTATTCCGCGATTTCAACATAATCTGTAAATTGGAGAAGATGCGAACGGAAATTATTTTATATACAATCAAATATATGCTTTAAATTTATCACAGTTCACAGTGATGTAGAGTGAGYGAAAGAGATGGTACATTAAAATGTCAAAATGAAAAACTGTTCGCAATATAATAGAATGAGCAAAAGAGATGGCACTATACGCTTTACATATTTGCTTTGAGTTGACGTAGTTTAACTGCTGGTGCAATTAATACACGAGGTGTACCTGAGAAGTTTGTCTGATTCATATTGAATCAATTGTAATGTTTCTAGTAAGGATGTAAAGAATATTTCTTTTCAAGTTTTTTATACAAATTTATACAGAATTGATTTGGAAAAAAATAATAAAAAAAAAAGTATTTAATACAAAAAATTTGTAGTGTAAATTTATTTTTGAAGCATTAAAAAAACAATCATAAATGATATTTTGTTTTACAGTTCGTTTTTTGCCGATAAAAGATGATCATGGAAGTATTTGATCCAACAACAGAGTGAGTGAGCTAAAACAATGAGAACATAGAAATTCTACACAAATTGCTGTGGGTGCTAATTCGGATCTATTCGGAATATGAAAGTGGCGGAAGCGACGGTATGTGCTGGTGTGATGTGCTGCTCTAGTTTGTTTATCAGTTGCACGTGCTGTTCCTCACGTAGTACACCCAATATCGATGTTGAAAAATTGGTGGTGACGTTTTGAGAGAATGCGCAACAAAGTGTCTTAGCAGCCGGGACATCAAAAGAAAGCCATACTCGTGCGTTAACCAAAACAGCATAATTTCCAGAAACGAATATGTGGAACATGAAGGGACAAAAATAGCAAACAACCAACATATGGTTGCGAAGGGTATTTACAAATATTTTCGAAGAACAATTAGCTTTAAAATTTCAGCAATGCGAAGCAGTTGAACGTGCCTGCTAGCATTTAAAACCAACGTACATATATATTCTAAACAATGTAACATCGTGGGGAATAATTTTATAACAAGCGGATAACGGAAATAATCATCATTCTCTCTTTAAAACTATTTTTACCTGGGGTTGTAAAACGTTGTGACCCTTTCCCTGATAAAGATCAACCTGACGTAAGCCAAATGGATTTCCTCTTTAAACACTTATCGTTAATTTACAGAATCCTGAATGTTGAAATTGAATATTGTCTGCTGGCTAGTGGCTGCCGAAACATCCATCTCCTTTTTTCTGTTCTTTGTTTTTTTTTTTTTTTCCTCTTTACGATTTTGTTACAGCGATACGACAGTTGAACGGTTCCTGTATGTATCGGTTGACCAATGATAAAGAGCTGATTCAACAATTTCCATGTCTTGAGAATGTGTTGAGGGAAAACGTTGTTCCCCGATTGGGAAAAATCAAACAACCAGCACCTATTAGAAATACATAAACAAAATACAGGGATTTGTGTATAACGAAAATAAAAAACACATATTTTCTACTCATCTAGATAACGAACGAGTTACCTCGAGAATTTTCTTTTGGATTTTTCAGTGATACTGCGCAATATTGCGAATTGCATACGGTCAATTTGGCAGATAGATCCTCTCCATGCCTTTAAAATAGTGGCGACGAGGTGGTGAGGTTAGGTCCATCATATCTTGCACTAATTTCTACCATTACAGCATCAATAATGGGAATCAAAGACAAGTTATAGGCCTCAAATCTCATCAGAACTGCCAGCGGGTAATTCAACGGCCTAATTTTTTTTTTTAGTATTTCTTTTTAGCAATGCGTCACAGTAGAACGTGCCTGTACGCATCTAACTTACGTAAACAATTGTGAAGTTTAACGTCATCACCTTAGAGACATTGAGAGCATCCCATAATTTCTATCTAATTCAATTGTAAGAGCAAATACAATTTTATTTGACTAATACCCAATTTATAGGGAGCACTAAGAGTACGATCAACTTTCGTAATACTGCTTTGATATGGCACAGTTGGATTTTTCTAAAAACAACCAGGAGAAAACTTTGAATACCTTAACATCACTTAACAGCACGAGTTTCAACTTGAAGTCGATTGTAAGACATTTGCAATTTTAAATTTGACTAATACATAATTCATAGGAAACAATAACTTAACAATTGCACTKCAAGGATACATTTTATTTTGTCAATCACCAACCTACTACAAACCCATGGAAATGTAAATACTGTTCTGAACATAAGGGCTAAATCATGTAAAAATGGCAAAAGGGAATCATGCCAAGACAATATCATATGCACAGGAGTTGTCAACGAAGGTTAGGTTGATTTATATACCTGTAGTAATGTTATTTCACAGTTATTGCACGAAAAGCGTTGGAGGGAGGAGATATCTACTATATCTGGTTGAATACCAAGATTTCGATCTGTTAAATTGGATAGCAAAAAAGAAAGGTTTACCCAAGCTTAATAAGTACTTAATATTCAATTGCCGATTGTTTATATTATGACTTATTATACCATAAACCAGGCGATAGAGAAGAAATTTCTATATTTTGCAGCGGTACGTCGCAGTTGATCGGTGCCTGCGTGTGCCCGTGTCTTTGCCTAGCTTACTAGGAAGTTTTTCTAAAGCAGCCTAACAGATTTAGAGCTTGAAAATTTCTGACGGAGTCACCAACAGCATCTATTCGCCGTGCAACAGTAAGAAACTGTTTCCTTGCCATAAATTAATGCATTTCTTATAGATTTCACGAAATTGATGTTCTAAGGATTGGTTCCTACATCTTGCTTACGCAAGAAGAAAGATTATCTGCATTTAATTTTACTATCTGGACAGTAAAATTACAAAACATCAATTCTGAATTAGTATGCTAAAGACACGGTTATATGTCCAAATTTTTTTTACAGAAACTTGCCTGGTCTTTGCATGAAAGGGATAAAAATAAGTTCTTGGCAAAAAGGGAATCACGCCAACAACAGGTGCCATGCATCAAACAATTTTTACGATAGAGACGCTACCAATTTTATGCAAGAGCTTAGATGAAAATCTTTATACACCTAAAGCACGAGGTATTCGATATTTCGCAGCGTTAAAAGGCACAACGACATTTTTTACACAATTTCTGGGGATTTAATTCTTTTTTGTTTTTAGCAAATTGGAAGTTTATTTTATATATATTCTTCGAAAACATACGACTTTTCTCATTATAATTTGTAGCGATATAACGTAGTTGATCTGTACCTGCGTATATCTCATCTGTATACTGGCTATAGGGAATCAAGCCATACGACACGGTAAATAGTACGCCCGTCATGTGAAACATCGGTTTATGAGCAGTGAAAGGGCACCCAAATTGAAATAACGGTTCCCGTGGATATCTTCCACTTGAAACTGGTAAAATTAAAATGTCTCGATTTTTAAACATCCTGTAAACTTACATATCTACACACGATTTTACTTGCGATTTTATTTTCGCGGCATCAAAAACAACGAAATAGTTTATTTATTACAGCGATATAATACAGTTGAACGGTACCTGTATGTATCTACAATGTGAATAATAATCAGTCGACTCTTTGCCAACTAAAGGCCTGTTAGAGATAACCATCAAGAGTAAACGGCAATTTATGGTGGTGCATTTCTGTATTGCTTCATCGGACAGTTGGGGAAACTGAAGGTGCTTTGAAAATGAATCTTTCCTTCAATTAAAAATTTATTTGCAGTTTGATGAAATTTCGTCCGTCTTCTTGGTAATGTCGTCAGAGAAACTAACTATGGCAAGATGTTTCAGCATTATCAGTATTTTCACCAGCTTCCACTCCCCTTACCATTATGTTGCAACTTACAGAATTTACTCGGCCTATTTTTTTTTTTTTTATTAAGGAAGTGCATCAGCGAGCCTCAAATCTTCAACTAAATGAGGTGTTTGCTTGAATTACCCGTTTTTGTTAACACTCTATTTGCAGTAAACAATTCAATGCTTAATTTATTGTTAAACATACAAATGGCGGCATTGTACGCATCCAGATGATCGTTAAAGGGAATCGAACGATACAACTAGAAGTGGCCGTCCATATACATACATACCTACATATATACTATTAATCATTGTAATCACGACAGTCTTGCTCCAATTGTACGCTATCTGGTAATTGAAGGACAAGCTGTAAATCGTGCCTCAGAATACCTCACATACAACGTCGTTGGTCTTCCGTTTATTTTCGTAATCTACGAATCCGTACGAGTCGCCGCTCGGCCAATTCCTGGCATTGAGCGATGGCAAGGAGTTCTGATGAGTCTGTCCCCGAATGTGGGCGAAGAAATGTTTCTAAAGGGAATCAAAGAAACACGCGTAAGACTTGTTACGGTTCGTTCTGTTAGTATAAAATTATATATTTACAGGTCTCATGTGACTTGACTTAACGAGTCCACAGTAAGAAACGATTTCAGCCACGGTATGTGGTTTGCAGATGGTCTCGCAAAGACTAATTAAAGATGTTTATCAATCCAAACCACAATAGCCTAGTTAACATATTAATTATGTAACTACTCATTCTATAATGCCTGGACATTACAAGAATTGTACACATAATAATTGAGATGAAATCCATGTTTACACACGATTAGTGTTTTTTGTTACAATTACTTTTCTGTTAAATACCCTTAAAAGATAATTGTATTCAAGCATTATTTTACTTGACCAAATGTTATCAAATTTTATCAAACTTTCTGTTATAATATCTAAGTTGAATTGTTTGTCACCCACGATGTTTTTTAAAAATCTACTAATTTTATCTCATTGTAAATTATAACGACTGTACGAAGAAGTAGTCGATCCAATAATATGCCGAGTGCATTAAGAAATGTGAAGAAATTTAAATCCATATTCTAATACACATGTAAACCAAGAAGAAAAATCTCATGTAAATTGTGACAGTTTATATTGACTGAAATATCGCAAATATTTTTGCAATGTAATATTCAAAATTTTTGAAAGTTATTCTGTAAACTCATTCTTTATATATTTTTAAAAATCTTACCTTGTAATTTGACATGTAACATTTTTTGAATGAATGTAATTTTGATATCTGTATTGATTAACTTGGCACACGGCACGAAAGCAGTGAAAACTACATACTTCCACCACAAGATCAAAGCATTCCTTGGTGACCGGTGCGTGAGAGAGAGAGAGAGAGAAAGAGAAAGATGTCATTTTGTCATACAAAGGGTTATGCTGTGTGAGCATCATTTTGAGAGCAGAGATTTCGTCTTATTGGGTTAATTCTTAACTACACAACACACAACCATCCGATTGCAAGAGAGATGCAGAGATAAAGGGAGAAAAGGCAGGAAAGAGTGCAAGATATAGAAAGCTTAGTTCATATAGGGAAAACATCGTGATCAGCTGTTCCATTTGGGATATCGAATTAATTTGGTGGAATGCGCGGAAGATTATATTAACTTTAATATTCTTCGGCCGTACCATCTAAGCCGCATTCGCATCAAAGCAATAAGTTGCAAGTGCTTTATACAGCGCCTCACATTCAAATTCCATCCTTCCGTAGTTGTGTGGCATACACAACTTTTGCAAGTCTGCAGAGCTACACACAATTTCGTCCAATGTAGTTCGTCCCGGTGAGATGTTTACGTGCACATGCAATCTCATCTAGCGTCCTTTTTTGCACTTAACTGCAAGCATGCGCGCATACACACACTCATCGTATTAACGCACAAATTATCAACACACAACCACAATCTTTCATTACCAGCAGAAATCGCGACCAGAGTCTGTTGAATAGCCAGAGCAATTGCCTTCCAAGCGTTTTGCAGAGATAATAATATCTACGTTGATGCCGAATCCATTGCATTACCTATTAATTGCTAAAAAGTAATTTCGCCCATTTGTTACCGATCGGATTGTACAACTCCGTCGAGAGAGGATTAAGTACACATACATACATGTATGCGCTATGTATACTATTCGAGTGCTGGCTTCATGGTTGTGGTCTGGTTAGTGTGAATTAATGTGTGGTCCTCCGTGTGCGTTCTGTTGCAAAGGCAAGAACTTTGGGGCTTCAACGGAGGTTGGTACGGTGGCATGTGTGACGTAGCTTTGCAGAAAGTATGAGGGCAATATACTGTTCGACCGCTCCATCCTTTGTTTACCACGACTGGCATATCTTTTCGTAACTTCTGAGAGTATGAGCGTTTTGTCCGATATTCATCTTCATCGTTCTTATTTCATCACTAACTGGGAGAGGCAGAGAGAAGGCAGTTCTAGAAACCCCTTAAGCAAACAACTATGAATCTTATTTCGAGACGTCAGTTTTTCCGTTTATCTTCACGACTTGATTGAGTTTAATTGGGAAGGCAAAAATTAAATTAGCAAACAAACATCGTAATCAACAAGAGTTGAGGACAGCGTGGGATTCCAAAGCATTGACGGCAGCGAGGGATACCAAGTTGTGACGGCAGCGAGGGATACCAAGTTGTGACTGCAGCGAGGGATACCAAGTTGTGACTGCAGCGAGGGATTCCAAGTAGTGACGGCGGCGTGGGATACAAAGTTGAGACGGCAGCGAGGGATACCAAGTTGTGACTGCAGCGTGGGATTCCAAGTGTTGACGGCAGCGGGGAATTCATCGTCGTGGGACTCGGCGGTTCATCGTGGGGTTGTAGTTTCGGTCTTTTCGGAGAATTAGAGTAGACGGCAGCGAGGGATTCCAAGTTGTGACAGCGGCGAGGGATACCAAGTTGTGACTGCAGCGAGGGATTCCAAGTAGTGACGGCGGCGTGGGATACCAAGTTGTGACGGCAGCGTGGGATACCAAGTTGCGACGGCAGCGTGGGATACCAAGTTATGACGGCGGCGTGGGATACAAAGTTGAGACTGCAGCGTGGGATCCAAGATTTGACGGCGGCGAGGGATACTTTACGGAGATTACGGCGTGGGAACTTCATCGATGGAAATATCAACGTACCTATTGTACTTTCGTCCTGTTATCTGCATTTGATCCGCTCCTTTTGTATTATGGTTCCCTTTAACGAAGCTTTAGTACATGCAATATATGGGTCAACGGAACTCCACTCATTCGTAAAAATCGGTACACTGATTAAGAGAGCAACTGGAAGTTTTTTGGTTATACAAAACCGAGATTCTGCATTTGACAATGTATTCTGTATATTCTACGATGCTTCATAAGATTTCTTAAGGGAACCGCCATTTTAAGCACCATTTAAGCAAATTGTGTAGAATTTGTAGGCAGGACCATTTATATCTGAATTTGTGTTTGTTTTTATTTATGAATAAATGTAATGTTTTTTGAAAAAAAAAAAATGAGTTAAATGTTTTGAATATGAATAAACAATATCCATAATAAATAGGACCTGATTCCAATTAATAAATAAATCTTTTGTTTTAATTGGCGGAAAACACTTCAGGTGAGTTTTTATTTATTTATTTTTTTTTTTTAATCTAAAGAGATGGGCTGTGTATTTTCGTTGACCGTCAAATTCGATTCATATGACGGCTGGGTTTACCTTACCGGAATTAACCGTGGGAGCTGAACTTTCGGAGATCTAACTTAACGCTTGCTCTTGGTCGGATGAAATCCGAGTCAATTCTGGAGCGTGGAACCGGCTGTCGTGGGAATAGGGAGATATAACCTCGTTTGGATTGGTAAGTTTTAGGATAAGATTGTCAGCACTGTATCAACGCATTGCATGAAGGCTGCTCCTACCCGTGTCCGGAGGAGTTTTTCTGCTACGTCTGCGTCAAAAGACCACCTCGATTAAGTGTAATACATGCAATGGATGGGACCATTTTAAGACATGCACAGGCTGTAAGACATACAGGGATTGGGTCGAAGCCTCTACGGTCCCTAGGAGTTCAAACAGGTAGAATTACTCTTATTCTAATCATCCACGGATCATATACAGTCATGCAATGTGCAACTCGAGCTTTGATATGTACAACTTCCCAGTGAATAAGTGAATTTCGACTTAATAGCTCTCCCGATTTTATTACTGCTAGTGGTGGTCTGATAAATAGCATAACCTGACGACATATGCTAACTCTCGCATTAGACTAGATTGGACAGATGTCCAGGATTATCTCGATCGAGAAACATCCCTAGTTTATTTCTTTTGACAACCGCACCTTCGTTAACTTTAATAAGCCCAACTGGGTCGGCTTCACAGAATTTACCGAGAGCACTTCACACCGCCATTCACAGTGAAGCCATTAACACCGTCACCAACTCTCTCTTCTTGAAAGGCGTACTTGCAGTCAAACCATCACCCATTGCAGACGAAGAGTTCGAGTTGCCACGAGAATCGAAAGTGATGCCTGTGCAACTTCGTTCTGGATACTGCAGCAGATTAAACTTTTACTTATCCAGAATCGGCCTTGACATATCAACCATATGTCCAGCGTGGAACGAGAATAAAATTGGGTGCTAGTAATACAGCTTTAATTTTTTATTGTTAGAAACGTATGAACTGGATATTATTTCAAGCAAATAGTTTTCCGTAGGGATGTGCGCTATAAGTTCCATTAAGTTTTCCACTCGGGAGATTCCAACCGGCTGTATTTTGGTGTCCAGAGTCACTACCAGCTAACGGTGTCAGTTGTGGACCTAAGTTGGACCCAATACCCCGATTGCCAGCACTATTGGATAGAGGAAATGTGTTTTCGGTATGGGTTCCAGCTATCAGAGTACTACCAGGAAGGCCGGCATGCCAAGTGGGATATGAATTGGATCCATTATTCACCTGTGGTATGAACTCTCTGTTAGCGCTAATGTTGCTTACACCGCCTTTCCAATTTGTAGAGTTTGCTGAGTTGCTTGGCGCCACCCAACCGGAATTGATGGGAGCAAATTGCCCACCACCGTTGTTGCTAACTGGTTGCGGGCTGATTGGGATATGTTGCGTCCAGTTTCTTCGATTTGAATGATGATTGTTTTGCCATGGGCTTCCGGGTCGGTGATGTGATTGCCTGTTATTAGGATTGGTGTGATTTTGATGACCAATCAGATGGTTGGGTCCTTGATGTGTTGCATTATGCCGTCCGCTATTGTTCCACGCCGTGGAATTGTAATGATGCCGTGACGAACCGTATTGCGGTTGTGGGAGACCTTCTATGTGGTAAATCAAACAAACGCAGAAAAATGCTGCAATGAATAAAAAGGTGTTATCGTTATAAATCGCTGAAACCAATTGGGCTCACACTCTAACAACATTACTGAGACTTAGTGCTAATATTTGCTTTTTGAAGGAATCTTATGAGAACATTTGACGAATATCTTCAAACACTTTTAGAGTAATATCCATTTTTATTTTACAACACCAGTTAATCTCGGAAGCGAGAGAATTTTTCCTGAGTCAAAGATTTTAACAAAAATAAGAAAGTAGGAAAGCACCAACTTGTTTTCGGCACCCCTAGACGGAAATAAAGCTACGATTGGTATTCAAATTATTACACAAATGCAACACGTTTTCAAAACTCTCCTAATGCAGTATACAAGGATGTACATAGGTTACAACACATACCCACAACAATTCTAAATTCGTTTGAAATCTTCATCTTGGATTAATTTTTGAAAGAAGCAACTCGCAGCCAATGTGTGCGGAATGCTGATAACTACTAAAATATTTTTGTGCTCTAATCAGCGCTTTTTTAATTATAATGATTTTAGATTACAAATATACGTAAATGCCTAAATCCATAGACAAGCAACTACCCGATAGGGAAATCTAATATTTTAGTATCACGTTCATCAATTTTGAAGCTTCCAAGGTGGCAGTATTCAAATACTTTCGGCATGAAAATCGCAATTTAATTTAGTCCCCGAGTAACGGTTAGTTTTTCAGTGTTCATATACATAAATCTTGAGCTTGATGGTTACACTTTTGGCTAAGGAACGAGCCATTAGGCATTTAGCCAATGTGAAAGCTGTCAAGCTGGCATAGACTGTTCACGATCGTAATATTTTTGGGAAGCCCCCGTCAGTTCATGGTTAACACTATTCAGCGCGCTGTGAGCGTTACATAAAATCAAAAGAGCGGGTTTACAGGCTCCTTCATGACTCATGTGTGATGGAACATGGGAAAAGTACCGGGGGGAATTGCCCATAAAGCTTTCCATCAGGGTAATACATGTCGGCTTCTTATCTATTACGCTGTCATCGGCGTTCTTAGCACATTTATTTACTTAATTACGTATGTATGTACTTATATTTATTTATCTTGTTATATTTTGATGTTGTAGTGAAATCTCTTCTTCAGGAATAATAATAAATTAATCTAAGAAGTGAGTGAAAATGCAATTTTCATTTATAATTTAGCTTTTTTTCATTTTCGAACATTTTTAAAAGTCCCCAAGACTTTCTTTTTTTTATACAATCCAGCGAATATTGAATATATATTTTTTTAATTTTAACTTTAAATAAGTTTTTGTTTGTTGAGCGTGTATGCCTTCGTATCTCGCAAATTGTTTATGTCTGCTTTCAGATTTTGCTATTAATCTCTTATCTCTTTCAATATTTGTACGCGATGGAATTATTTTTGTTTATTTTATAATAATTCCCCAGGCGATTATTAGAGCTTTACAAATAAATTCAACTTTTACGGGTGTGTGTACGCCCATAATTGAGGATGCATATGCGATAAGCCTCGGGGATTTTGCTTCTGGTCGGCGAAAACAAGTTTAAGTATATAAGCTGGCCATTATATATAATATAACGAACGTATCTATAGAGCAAGTAACTACAAAGTTGTATTTATTTAAAAACTGCCTTTATTACGGATGTAGTTCTTAATGTTATGAAATACATATCCAGAGGTTACTTGGTCTAAAAGCGCAAGTCGTGAACTGCTTGAGCCGTATGTAAAAGAATCGTTTTTGGCCACTCTCAGGTGAATGGCACTCAGAGAACTTTCCTCACTTGCGTTAACTTCAACACATAACTCCATCCTCCAAAGAAGAATTATGTATTTTTATAGTGCAGTTCGTTAAATAAAAATTTGATTTAAAACTGTGAGACGGCGCTTGGTAGAAAATAAGTGCCATGAACGAATTGCAAGACCAAAATCAAATGTCGAAAAAAAAACATTGTAAAAGGTATTAAATTTGCTAAAAAGTAATGTCGCCGTGATACAAAAATTGGAAAATGGTAGTTTGGAGCGATTTGGAAATGGTTTGCTGTACATCATTTCCGCAAACGAAAGAAACTATGGCTCGTCAGTGATGGTTTGGGGTTGTTTTACTTCCTAAGTCTAAACACTTTTAGAGTCATTTCCGTATTTATTTTCTACAATATTTTTTTTTTCCTAGTAAATCATTTTCAGGACACAGTTATGCTCGGATTGATTCCAAAAGTAAAAATTGATGGAAAGTTCACGGGCCAAAAGTACAAAGAAACTTTGAAGATTGTTTTGGCAATTTGTCTTTGTCGCGGATATTTCAATGCGACATCGACCCGAAACACACTTTTCGGAATCGAAAGAAAATCTTTGGAGTATTATAAAACGAGCAGTTGTAGCGAGGAAACCCAGAAATCAAAGTGAGCTACGCAATATTATTCAACAAGAGATGCGCTTTGCTTTTTGTAAAAATGAAACAAATGCACAATTTTTCTCCTATTGAAATAGCTGTAAGGTTCTCCATTTCAGCATATCACGTTTCACTTTGTTAGAACGCTTGGAAATTGCTCCACATTATTACGCAAATTCGAGTTGTTGGACAAATTCACATTCATCGAAAAATCATCTTCCCAGATAAGGCTCATTTCTGGCTTAATGGCTTCGTTAATAAACAGAATGGTCCCAATTGGGGTGAGATATGTAAATTCTCGTGTGGTTCAGGGAAAACAATTGCATCCTCTAAAAATTACCGTTTGGTAGAGATTGTGGTATGGCGACATCATTGGGCCTTATTTCTTTCGAAATGAAACAGGAAATGCCGTCACCATCAATAGCGATTGTTATAACACAATGTTGGTTGATGATTTGGCGCGGTATTTGATGATGATGTCTACTTCCAACATAAACATGGACACAATGCGTGCAAGTTTGGAGACTCGTTAAATTCGAGAAATGGCCCAGTCAAATGGTCCCCTAGATCTTTCGTTAAAACGCCTCTAGATTACTTTCTCTGGGGGCATATTAAATCAAAGGTATACGCCAATCAACAAGCAATGCTCGAGACGCTTGAGGCCAACATTTAGAATAATATAACGAAAAAAATAGAACCCATTTTGCAACTAAATGTTTTATTAATTTTTTGGCTATTGCAAAGCATTGAATCTTAGTAACTCAATTTGAAGATATGGTAATATGATCCAAAAAAGGGCTATGCCTTTTTTCTTCATTCATCAAAATAATATTAAGATACGTATTTAATTGAGTCACATATCACAGAACTTGCCGCTAAAAAACAATGGTGCATGCAGTTAAACTCGAAATATCGTATAATGGCCAGTGTCTTGGAATGTAGGGCAGCCAAGAGTGGTGTACGGCTGTGACCCAAAAACGGATTATCTTAGAACATGGCAAGGAAAATAAAACGGTATTGATCAAATCATGTGTAAAAATTCATATCGGAACTACACAGTTATATAAAGTTCCTAATGGCATTCGATAGGTGGGGAATAGAATACTCAGTGGTGCGGCTCATTAAGCTACCGGACCAAGCTACCAGACTAACTTAATCTAATCTAAATTTGAAATAACGGAGTTTCTAGAAAGAGATTCGATATGGTATTTTTAATGACTGCATTCCGATAATTTCTATGTAAAATATTTTTTTTTAATTCTTTTTTATATATCAGCAATTTGTAATGCACGATTATAGAATTTCAGGTCTTATTTGTTGCTCATGTTCTACTTATTCAATTAAATGTTTTTTAAAAAAGATATTCCACACCGTTGGATTTACTTTTACTTACCAATCCGTAAATAAATAGAAATTGAAAACAAATAATGGTCTCAAAAATTATCTCAGCCCCTCTGACATACCCATATGCGCACACCTTCACCAGTATCTCTTTTAATATTCTCAACTACTTTACCAAAATATGATTCGTGAATAGCAAACCAGTTTAATTCTGAAAAGATTTAACTAAAAATTCAAATATAAGTTTACTTTTCGACAAGAAAAAAAAATATATATATATATATGTATATAAAAAACGGGTATCACCATTTTTATTGACTGTTGGCGTATATAACAAGAACGCTGAATATTTAAAACAAATTATTATCAACGAAAGAGCTATCACTCTGTAAACAGTTAGAGAGGGAAATTGTACGGCAAATCAGTTCGGTAGCTCCCAAAGTAGCATAGAAATATACACACCATATGAATAGATATACATTTATACCCAGGTATCCTCATTGTATTGCATTGAAGTTACCCACGTTGCATTGGAAAGAGACCTTCGCAAGCGCCACGCCGTACAATCTGGATATCTGCAGAGATAAAACACAATTATGAGATTATTGGTAACTATTGACATTAATAGTAAGTTTGCTGTAGATTTGTATGAGTCAAATAATGATTTCATTGACAGTTCTGAGCTTCTGTTCCTTATTAGCATTATACTCGTAACACAAGTCAAGCGATATACAGGTTTTCAGGCGCCCCATTTTAACGTATATTAGTGTATCAAATAGTGCTTTGATCGACTTGGAATCCCTGAAACAACACGCGGTAATCACGCGCTGAACACACAAACAAAATACATACAATGAACGTGACTTGAACCCATGCGTGGCTTGGAGGTCTTCGTGCGAAAGTGCAGCATGCGAATTGATGGTGTGGTTTAAAGTACAATCTCAATGACAACACAAAAGAATGCCCAAGGTAAGGCAGCAGCAGGCTCGCACAACAGGTTCGGTTCGTTTAATTTGATGACATGTGCTTATTTGATAAGATCTTGTTCATTTATTTAAATATTATATAATTACACATGCACATGCATGCATTGCACAAAGTGCGTAATTTAATCGTACACGCATAAATGCATAAATCGCCGAGAGTGACTCACTCACCTGCACCGCATTGCCGCGCACAGTCGAACTTCTGCGGATTCTGATATTGCTGCTGATTACTCGCACATATCGGATTGTACTCGGAAGTGGTGGGGCAGCTGCCAAAACAGTTCAAGAATTGGGGCGAAGCCGTCGTCGGCGCTGTAAACGGTACTATGGTTGCAACAATGGGTTGATTGTTAATGAAAACGACGTTTGGTGCAGCAATGTTGTTTGCTTCTTGACCGTTAGATGGTGATGGTGTGGTAGTTGTTGTGCTGGTGGGTGCTTCTCTCCTATCATTGCTAAAAATCAGCGGCTCGCCTGGACCGGGGCGTCCCCACTGCGGTCGCGGAAAGGGCTTTGGTCCAAAAATAAAGTCCACTGGTGTGAAGAAAGGTTTGTCGCCACCGAAGTTAGAGAAAATTTGACGCCTCGCTCGTTGTTTGCTGCTGAATGCCACTCTGCGCTGCTCGGTGGGCGCGCTGTATGTTGGGACGGTTAACATTAACACCACTGCATGATAATTAAGGCAGATTTCACAATTCAATAACTAAATATTTGGTTTTTATTTCATTATTCAGCACAAACCTGCGTAAAGACAGCAACTATTTGTAAACAACATTTTATTTTAGCTCAATTATAATAATGCCAGGTTGTCTCCAAATCTTCACACGTCCATAAGCTTTGCTCGACTGTTTTGCTGCTCAGTGCTCCCCTGTGCATAAGTAACATTTTGCTTGGTGAGTTGAAAGAGCAAGCTGAAAAGACACTCGAACGAGATTTAACTGCCGAGCCAACTAGAAATAAAGATACAAGTTAGGAGACATATTATACACGCATTTTCATTTGTTTCATTTAAATAGATATGCCGTGCGCTCTTTTAAGCTTGCATCAGAGAAAGTCCACTGCCACTCAAGTTAACTCCGATAGCATCTCATCTCAGTATCTCAACTTGAACTTGGCTCAGTATTCATAGCTTATACATGTATACATATGTGTATATATGTATATATTTATACAGTTTAATAAATGTAAAGATTATTAAGATTTTAATACAGTTCATTAGAAACAGCAATTTCATACACAAATCATTTAAATTTCATAGTAAGGTTTATATAGTAAATTAATTGCTACTCGTTGATCACGATAACAACCTGAAACGGCTGAACCTATCTGGCAGATGTTCATTTTGAAAGCTTTGTGGAAGTCTCAGGAAATCTCCTTTTTTCTTTACAAAGACAAGGAACTGCCGCAATGACTATCGAGAGGCAGATATTGATACCATTCGTTTTGGACTGATTGAAAATCAAGTAGATAGGCTTAGAATAGAATGATAAAAAAATGAAATTTACAGTTTGAGCTAACACAGCGCTCCTCTGTAGGACCAAAAGAGTTGGCCAGGTCATTAGAACTGGATTACGTACTATTGACTGCAGCGAAAATTGACGATGTGCCACACCCAAAGCTCCATCAGGATCAGGAAGAACCCCCTCCGATTCGATGCTAAGGGAAGTTTCAGCAAAGAGATTCCCTAACGTTTGACTTCTTAAATTTATTGATGGAGAAGATAATACTGCAGAGCTAAATAAAGAAGGTAAAATCTTCCATAAGAGTGTACAGCTAGTAGCGTACGCCTCAACAACCGCATCGTTAATTATGTCTTTTCAAGACTGGATAAGGATGCGAAGCTTATGTGTTTAGTTGGGAACGAGAAGGAAACAAAATATCTCCTGCCATCAAACAGTCATCGCATTCCCGGATTTGCTCTAACGTCACTGGCGATAGTCGTAGATAATTTCGTCTACCTTGGAACCAGCATTAACTCCAACAATCTTAGGCTTGAAATCCAACGCAGAATCACTTTCGCCAACAGGTCCCACTTTGGACTGAGGAGGCAAAAAGACGAAACTCTGCAAGTCGTTTACTATTCCCGTGCTGCGATATAGTGCAATGAATATGAACAATGACATGATCTGATGAGTTGGCGTTAGGATAATTCGAGGTAAAGGTTATGCGGAAGATTTATGTACTTTTGCGAATCAAGAGACATTGGGTACGCTGGCTAGATCATGCTTTTCGTTTGGCTGAGAACACTTCAGCTTTGAAAGTATACATTGGGTTTCCACTGGTAGAAGCAGAACAAGCCCTCCACTCAGTTGGAGAGATCAGGTGCAGAAGGACATGGCTGAACTTGGCACCTCCAATTGGCGCCAAATAACGAACATCAGAAACGACAGGCGCGCTGCCTGTAAAGAAGAAGAAGATAGGAACTATAAACACGTTGACATTCTGTTTTCGGAGCCGATGCGGAAAGTTTCTCCGAATTTCACACGACCATCGTAGATAGTACATTTGCCAGACAAAGATCGAAGGAATATGATTTTGGATAATGCTTAAATGAAATGTAAATCTGATTATTAAGAATAAATGTTTATTCATTAAATTCATATTTCATATTTTTCTTATTGAATTGCTGTGGAGAGAAATGTTCCCATAAACGCGAAAATTAAGTGGAAAATTGCATTTATAGATCTAATGAGATGTTTAATATTATAAAAAAGAGGGTTTTTTGCAAAAGTTAAAAATTAAGTTTTTATAGTTATAACGGGTACTTGTTTTAATCACTTAGGCAATGTGAAGAATATTATACGAAGTGGCAGTCAGCCGTGGTTGAGGCATAGTGGCAATCGGTGATATGTGTTTCATTGAATTCTCCCACTGTTTGTAGCTGGAAGGACGTTTTTGATAACCAATTAACGCTGTAGTAAATGGAAAAGTGTTTAGTTATTTTGAAGATGTTAGAATTATTGGCATATTAGGGTGAACGCTATTTGCAACTTTTCAAATATATTATATAACCAATACATAACTATTAAATGACGTAGAAGTGAAATTTCTTATAGTAAGCACTGTTTTTATATAACATATATTTTAGTTTAATCCATATGGAAAATTGAAATTGTGAAAATATTTGAAAAGCAACAAATGAAGCATTTCCCTAACCAAGGTATACGAACAGTTTGAGGTTCTTGGAAAAGAGGTGTTGACCGCACTTTTGCTTCTGTCCGCCGTTGGTTGGCATGCATTTTCAGAACTCTGAGACTGCGCCGATTTACTGACATCGGCTGACGTTGCTCGCTGACTGTTTGGATTTTCCGCTTTTTGCAGGCATTTTAAAATGTGTGTTTCACTGCGCTTACGACCGCAACGACATTTCGCTAGCAATGAGTTGTACATGTCCGGTGAGACGAAATATGAGTCACCATTACCCGTATATTTGTAAGGGCACAGCTCTAGATTATGAGCACAAAATCAGCATAATTTATATTATTTATGGCCAACAATTTACAAACCTTTGTTTCTCAGTATATCCTGCAACTGTTGATTGACCTCGTTTTGATTGTAGAACCTGTTCAACTTTTCATCACCGAGTTTAGCCCATTTCTTCTCGAAATTGCGACGCGCCAAATGCTCTATTCTCACCTGCTCTTTCCTATCGAATTTTGAGTGTATATGTGGTAGCCTTTTAATATCTCGAAATTTCGACTTTTAACTACTCACCCGATTCCTAGATGCTTAGCGGGATCCATCAGAAAGTATATTTCCAAAAGTACGTTGCCGTTATGTGGTTACTCTCGCTGCTAAATGAGCCGACAGGCGTATAGTAAATAAACAGTTATTTCAATGGTTTGTTGTTTTTGCACCGATTGTTGCCCACGGCAGCGTTTTATTTATTTTGGTTGCCTTAGCTGCTAATACTTTACGCGATTTTAGTTTGTTTCATGCAACCAAAACAGTCAAATTTAAAAAATAAAAAATTTGTAGAAATCGTCTACGTATGTGTGCATAAAAAAGCTCCACCAATTTGACAGAAAACGATATTTGACCGACGGAACTACTACTAGGTAAAATTGCTGTTTTGATAATAAAAAAAACCGATATTTTCAAACGATTGTCACAAATGAAATTCAAAATTTTAAATAAACACATTTTTTTTGTTGTGTAATGTCAGACTGAGAAAACCTAGTTTTAAAAGTAAAATTTGCTTTATTCCACTAAGAAATTCAATAAGTCTTCAAACGATTAGTGCCCCTCCCAATCAATGAACCAGTCCCTGAGGGATTAAATGCATGTAAAAGCGTTAGTTGGAGAATTTGGGTAAAAAAACAATCAACAGCTTCTTGGAGAGAAGATGCAAATATATTATTAAATAGTATCCAACGTTTTCTTTAGCTGTTTTAAAATTCGTAGCACTCCTAATATATTTACGCTGTTCAGGGTATAAAAAGGGAACGAGTCTTGTTAAAAAACGGATTTGCTTTTTATTCTTTATTCAAAGAGTTCGATTGTTTTTATGACCAGACACTTGAACAAGTCTGATGAGGAGGTATCTTGATGTTAATTATAGTGAAAAAAATGTACTCCTTTACCAATCCGAAAAAAAGCTCACTGCGCCTCTTCTTCAGCGACTTCTCCAATCCACATGTCCTCGGTAAGTGAGCAACGAATGGCTTCTCTACAGAAATATTAGGCATCCGATGTCTTCCCTATTCTTTCCTCAATGTTTGATCTTCATGAATGCTATTTATCAAGATTGAGCTCTAGGTATCTTGCCTTACCTCCAGGTTGAAGGCGTGAGCCTCCAAATTAGGGGAGAGGCTTATCTGAGATTTTATTCCTCCTAGGAAATAAAGCCATTTCAGTTTTATTAAGCGGCTTTATCCGTTCAGTTAGATACCTTGTTGACATACCAATCGGTTAGTTTGTAGATGGTATTTAGAATTTTTCTTTTAAAAGTGAGGATAATGTCGTCAGCATAGACTGTGATATGATGACCTCGCTCCTCGAGTTTTTTAATTAGGTCGTTAAATACCAAGATTAAAAGCAGTAGGGAAAACAGTAAGGAAACCACTCCATCATGCTACTCCCGCTCCGCCATAACCAAAAAATATTGTAAATGAGGTGCTTGAAGTTCGATTCCCAAATTATTCAAGGGCTTTAACTACCGCCTCCTGTGCGTTCGACGAAAAAGGAAGCTACAGCATATTCCTTACTGGAGCATAAGGGATCCCTATCGCCATAACACATCGTGCAAAGCAGTGTTAACCAATCTGTCTTCGATAAAGGCATGTTTACCCTTCTGTATTCTGCTGTTAATGTACAGATCCATGAGTCTTTCCACCGTTTTAACAGAAACAAGGAAAGGCTAATGGACTCAAAATCTCGGCCATCGATATAAACATCATCTTGACCAGTTACCGGGCCATCAGAACATGGTCTAATCTCACACAGTTCGCGTAGGCTGCTTGACACCTTAACCGTCCGCTGTTGTTGCGCCGATATAATGTTATCAGGGCTCGGGGACTTCGGACGACTTCTCGCTGTAAACATAACAGTAGGACCACCACATTTCAACATTATCGTGGCCAACTCTAGTTGGAATAACGATATTAATATAATTCTTAGCACATAATCGAAGTTCCTCTTTGTGGACTAATTACATTTACTTACATTTAGAAATTTATGAATGAAAACAAATAATGTAAGCACATTCATATTTATATTTATATATATATTATATATTGTTTTTAAATTTTCGAGTCTTTATTTAATTTATTTTTCACTTCACTAGAATTTGAATGTTTTTTTTTTGGTTGAAACTCCGAGCGGACATCGGAGATCTGGCGGTTACTTATGCTTTTCAATTACTGCATGCTTTTCATTATATAATTAAATATATTGATTTCTGAATGTATATAGATTTAAGGTTTTCCATATATCTAATTTACATTTTGTATTAGTTTTTACATTTTCAGTTTATTTCATTAATTTACTTTGTTTTTCAATATTCGACAACAACAATAATAATAAGTAGTTAATATTTTTATACACACAACTGTCTGCAATCTACGACTGCAAATACTACATGCTAACATATTTATATATTCTATACGTCAGTTCCTCCACGGTTTGTGATATTTTTTAAAAATTTTGCTAATATTTTTTGTTTTTAGTTTCCAACGCTTACGGAGTTTATGCGGTAATGCGCTGATCTGAGTGACTGAGTTGTTTTTAGATTGAATTGGAAATGAAAATGCTAAAAGCCAGAAGATTGTATTTCGATTAAGGGCGGATTGTAAGCGGTATTTTCAATGTTTTCTCTTCGTTTCAATAAATTTAAAACTAAATTCTGCTCAGAGCAAGAATTTTCCATGAGAAAAAATCGCGTTCAACTGAAAAAGTCTATGCTCTACAAATATAATATTTACATTTATTTTTGTTTTACTTCTCAATTTGTTAATTAATTTTTTATTATTAGTTGGAAGGTTTGCGCTTTGCGCCGAAATAATTGTGTTTAGAATATGATTTTTCTCAGCCACCTTATCGGCTGCTGTCTTTGCGTGTAGCAATTGTTTCACGTTTTTCGCTGTATAATTTTTACTATTTTTATATTTTACTTAATGCCTTGAATTTCCTTTAATTTCATTAGCATTTTTTGTTTTTTATTTAAAATTATTTATTGCATTCAATTTTGATTTTATTGAGTTGATTTAAAAATGTTTCATTTTTAACATTTTCGCATTCTTCACTTGTAAACATCTACACATCTGTGTTGTGCCGTGAAAAGTGGCGGCCGGCTCTTATGCTTTCGTTACAATTTAACACCCAACAACCCGCTCCGTCCGCATTTTATAAATGGTTTCCCGACTGGCTTCTCTGTACTACGAACTATTTACATTCTTATGGAATTTACTTTAACTTAGCTGTAATTTAATTAAATTAATTTAGATTACTTTTTTTCCAACTTCAAACATTAAAATATCAGTCGACGCTTGGAACCTTCTCAGACAGCTGTTTTGGCTTGCTGGTCGCGGCAAAAAGCCTGCCTCTGTGACTTGCCTGCACTGATCGACGCCAATGACTCGCGTTTACTAAATATCAGTTGCTTAAATTCAAATATCGCATACATAAAGGTTCGTAAAATTTCGATTTCCTTCTTAAAATAGAAAATGATTGTTTCTCCTTTAACACCCGACCATTCTTCGTGGTGGCCCTTGTGGTTTAATCAACAGTTTTATTTATTATTTCTTGTTATTCTTACATACAAGTATATATTTACTTAGTGTTATTGTAAAGGAAAATTTATATGTATAAATATTTACTTACTTTGTTGTTGCACTTTTTATTTGCAACACATTCGTTTACTTAATTATTAATGGAGGTAGTTTAAATTAGGTTCAAAATTTGAAATCAACTTCTTTTACGCTCTTCATTGACAACAATATTATTATATATGATGGAAATTTACAAAAGCTATCGAGTGGGCAAAAAATAGTAAGATTTTCTCCATAATCAAAAATTTTTTAAATTCCTCTTCAAAATCTATGTCGTCCCCCTCAAATCATCCCCTTTGATAACAATAAACTTGCGTCAACGTTTTTTCCAATCCTCGGATCAGTTGTTAAAGTCAATATCCGAATTAGCCTTCAATGTCTTCAATTGACTCAAAACAGTTTTCGCACAGCGACAGTTTCAGTTTGCCCGAAGTCACACGGAGCTAAATCAGGTGAATACGGTCGTTGTGGTGCGATATTAATTGAAAATTTGGCGAAAAAAACACGAATAATCAATGCAGTATACGATCATGCATTGCCGTGGTGCAAAATCAAAGAGATGACGGTACCATTCCGGACAACAAACGACGCATACACTCAAATAGTTTCTTTTGTTAACAGTCTGAGCAGTCGAAAGGACTTCGGCGTGAAGCACATTTCGGTAATCGAAGAACGTTGTTTACAGACCTTCCTTTTAGACTCTCTTTGACGTGGTTTTTTCGGCTTTCGGCCGATTGATGGTCTGTTTCCAGGTCGTAAACATACGTCCAAGACTCCTCTGCAGTCATAATAAGTTTCATGACATTCTGGTAGTCGGAACGCATTGTTTCACAGTTTTTAACGCTGTTTAAAACAAAAAAAATGATTGATTTTGGAACAAATCGTACTTTCACTTTCTTTAGGCCCAAATTATCTTTCAAAGTGATTTTCACTGATCCCTCCGATATTCCAGTGAAGCCAGTAAGATCTCCGCCTGTTAGTTGTCTATTCTCAAGCACCAATTCCTTTATTTTACTGTCGTCTTGATCATCAGTTCATGTTGATGGTCGTCATGGAGTTTGAATAATTTGTACCGAAGGTATTTTCAGCATTCTGAGCGTTTTGGCAACATAAATTTGATTCCACATACAAAATTTAATGGAGCTTCTTCAGAAAGACAAGCGTATAACTAAACACTAATGATTATTTTGATGCGACATTGGCACAGATCTCGCTGATAGTCAAAACAACTTAGGAAAAAAATACTTCTACAAATGGGTGTTCACGCAAAATTTAAATTAAAAAGTCTTACTATTTTTTGCCCACATTAAAGTTCATTATAATTACAGATGTTTGTATTTCCAGATAAACGGAAAAGAAGGTATTGAAAGTTGTATATTCCAGAACGTCGGATGTCAATTTCGTGATAATATCCGTGATGACAAATTATAAAAAAATGAATTAATACTTTCTGATGCATGTCCCACTTTGGGATACATCTAGTGGTGATGGGTTACAAAAACATTCTAAATCGCTATAAATAAACACTCAAAACCATCAATCAAAAACTGTATTTGTATATAACTACATAAGTAAAAAGTCATTAAAACCAATAAAATATAAAATTTTAGGAAAAATAGAATCAACTGCGTCATAATAAATAAATGTTAACCCCCCAATAGCTTTTTAAACGGTACAGGCGTCATTGAGGATTACTTCGTTAAAAACATCCTGCTTGGGTCTCTTGAAGATAACCGTGCTTTTATAAGACAGCTTTATCTTTATATTTATAATCTTTCACACTTGACAGCTGGAGTGGATAAACGAAACTGTATTTGTCATAACGAAGTATGTGCTTCTATTTTTTCATATTAGCTTTGACTATGTAAACTCAAAAAAATAAAAAATAATTTTAAATCAAAACAAGCCAATTTTTTTATTGTTCGTTGGAGTTTTAACAAAGGCGTCGCGTAGTGATCAATTGGCATATTAGTACAAATACATGTACAGTTATATGCATTAAAGATTGCGGTTGTCGTTGTTCAGTTATATTTCAAACAATATTTTTGCTATTGCTTTCTAATGTTTGGAGTGTTGGATAGATAAGTATGAATAGGGTATATACAAACTTTTACTTATTCGGTTTTAAACGAAAATGTTGGTTGAATATGCTTTAGAGTGGATATTTCGCGATAAGTTGATAGCATAATGCCATCTAAGCAATTGTGAGTACAATCTTTTTTTGTTTGCTAGTAGACACATACAGTTTTAAGTATTGTTTTTTCAAGCCACATGCATGTTTTTTTTACTTAGTGGCCATGAGTTTTTATACCGGTTTTGGCTTACTTTTTAGGTTTGGGCTTGCACTAGTTTGGTTTTTGTCCCAAAATGACTATCTTTTGATGTCTAAGGTTTTTTATTTTGTTGTGTATTTTATTTTATTTTTTAATGATTTTTTGAATTCTCTCCTCAAAGATCTAGCCTCATGCTCCAAGTTTTTAGTAGATATAATATATCTCATAAATTTTTTTCTTTTGTGGTTATGCAATTCTGGCTTCGTAGTGCTATTATTTTTATTAGACATCAAGAAGAACTAATGATATTTCCTAATACAAAATTTTTTCTTTTGCGAAATTTGCATTAGTTTCTTTTTTTTAAGGTAATGCTGCCAACTTCGAAAACGTTTTATTAACGGTGCCAAAAATTATTTCGTTAAAATTTAGTTAACTGAATTTGTATCACATTAATAGCTAAACTTAGTATTTTTATATAAAATTTCATAATCTTTTTACCAAGAGTAATAAATTATATGTTGTCTGCCTCAAACTCTTAAAACGAAACTGGCATACATTTTTTTTGTAGTTTTCATTTTGATATACTTTTTATTTAAAATTAAATAAGTTCAATTATGATAATTTTCGCTAAATATTTAATCTTTATTTTAACTATAATTGATCGTTCGACGCAATTTTTGAAACCATTCGTATAGATATTTGGCAAAAAGCGAAGAGCATGTCGCAAATGAGGGTGGAAATAAAGAACGGTATTTTCAATCATAGCAGTTCACGATTTCTTTAACTGCGAACACTTGAATTCATATGCCGTTAGAAATATTAAAATTCGTTTGTTAGTGAACAAGATTAATATTTGGTAGACAAAACAAAGTTACGTTTATTCCGAACAAGCAAATCTGTTTTCAAAATTCAATTGTTTTATGTTAAATTCAATTTGAAAAAAAAAAAAAAATTGTATAAATTCTTTGTCTAGAATTCAATTTAAAACAAAAAAATTAAAAAAAAATTATATTGTTATAAAATTATATTGAAATTTATAATTTCCGAATGCTTCACTTTTTAATAAAAAAACGTGTAAACTCATTCAAATTTTGAAAAAGATAGAGTAACAGTTACATATGTTTACAGAAATTTTATTATTAAGATGTTTAGAAATATAGTTAAGGGGCTCTATACAGTTAGAATTTTCCAAAAATCGATTTTTTTAAATTTATTTTCTTAATTCACATTGTTCTGGCGAATATTTTCGTAGTTGCACGCAAATTTGAAAGGCATTTCAGAGTGCTTGGAAGTGCATTCTATACTTTAAGCGGTTTTCAAAATCGGTGACCAACATTACTCGAAAACCCTATACCGAATAGTCTCAAATAGTAACACGATCGTTTTAGATATGTTTTTCAGAAATTCAACGAAAATTTTTTCTCACCGATAAATATTTTTTTATAAACAATTTAAATTTTTATAAACATATAAACTTTTGCTCAAAAATCGACTTTTGTTTTGAGAAACCGCCATTTTGTCAAACTTATTCCTCCGACTTCGATTACTAGATTAAACATTACTTAAACGAAATCTGTTTGGTTTTTTAATTTCAGAGGATCCAGTTCAAAGATGCAGTGTTCACCGCGGAACGTCTTTTTTGAGAGGAGCTCCCAGAGGTCAGCTGTATTTGCTTTCCAAATAAATAATTTTACTAGTACAAAGTCTTGACATACTGTTAAAATATACCATAATATTCATTCAAATTTTTGGATGACTAAATTTGAAAGTTTTCACAGAAAAAAATTTGAAAAATTCTCTTTTTTCGGCATTCTAACTGTATATAACCCCTAAGATTACCTCAAATTTGCTCATACGAATTATATTTTTACGGTCGTTATTAAAAAAAAAAATTAATAAATTTAATAAAAAACAATTGATTATTTAAAAATTTTAGAGTTTATTTTTGCTAACTGCTTGTTGAAATTAATATTACAGATCTGCATATATTTAATATATAGCATATTTAATTCAGTTTATTTTATTTAATTATCCATTTACAGCTATTTTCCGCTATTTTAGACTAATTAAAAATCCATTTATCCTTTATATAATTTCTTCTCCTCACTTACACTACATACAAATAGTATGTCTACCTATATGTAGTACGGACAAGGCTAGTATATTTATTACCTATGCTAATATTTAGATTATTTACACTTATCTGATTGACTTAAATTGTAATTTATTTTAGATTAATCTTTACAAATTAAAATCGTTTAAAAACACAACAGTATTCAAGGCAGGGAGGCTGAGAATGAATAAATTCGCAGTGTGAATACTTTTTCGCCCAGTGTTCTGCCAGCATTATTCCTAAATAAATAATCATTTTAATATAATTTACTAATAATCAAAGACAATTGCTATGATTGACTTTTTGGCGCCGAAATCAATTTTCGTTTAATTGGCTAAAATAAATTTTGAATACTAAAAAATTAATTTAATAAATACAATATAAACTATTGGCTTAAAATTACTTTAGGCATCGAATAATCGCAAACATATTTAGCTTAAGCGAATTCATAAATAATTTTGTTTTAAATCTCAGCCGGCAGAACGCTTTTGGCGCAAGAACCTAGCACTCTCAAGTGTATTTGTATATGTATGTATGTACCGCGGTGCGTTTATGCATTTTTCATTTTTCATTTTTCATTTCGCCTTTTCGTTTTTCCCTTGTGCCGTACTGCTGCGTTTGGAAATGATGTGAATACAAAGTTCATGTGAAACCAGCGTTAAAGTAGTTCCATGCTCAAATTAATTAGATTTACATAACTGCTGTACATACGACGTAAGTGTGTATGTGCAACATATTGCAGCGACTTAGACTATGTATTTCCCCCTTGGTCCCTAGGCATACGCATACAGGAATTTGTTGCTAGTTAATGCACAACTTGTTCACGCTGCGCCGTACCCGTGTCTTTTATCTACTTCTCCTGCCCCACAACCACACTATGCCATCTTCGCGATTTCGATGCCATCAAGTGTGGTGCCTGCAACGGCAGCCACACGCCGCTATGTGGTTGCGTTCGGCGTACACGTGTTACAGTCTTTGCTATTGCAATTGCAATTGTTGTTGTTCGCCGGGGTTGTTGGTGTGCGCGAACGTGGCGTCATGCCGCCCGACGCCGCGGCGGTCAGCGGATAGCAGTCCATGGCGACCAGACTGCTGCGGCTGCTGTTGCGCTCCGCGGCGCCGGCGGTAGCCAAATTGCAGCTGCTGCTCTTCAGCGATTGCAACAATGTTGTGGGCGTGGCGCTTTCGGCCACAATGCTGTCTAATAATATTTGCTGCTGCTGTTGGTGTAAGCGCTGCTGCTGTTGTTGCTGTTGGTGGTGATGATGCTGGAGATGGTGGTGCAGGTGATGGTAGCCACCAATGGGCACAGTCACCGAAAGTGGCGGCGTTGGTATGCGCTCGATGGAGGCGGGTGTGGCTGTGGACGAGACGCCGATGGTGGTCAGTAGTTGGGTGCTGGTCGCAAGACCGGCCGTTATGGAAGGTGGTGTGGACGCTTGCAATGAGCTGGCGCCGTAACTGCAGGCGGTCGTCTTTAGCGATGACGCGGTCGATATGGGCATTGATGCCAGGGGTGTCGAAGCGAGTGCCGATGGCGTAGCGGATGATGATGAGGCAGACGATAGAGCTGCCGCTGCCAGGGCTGCGCCACCAGTTGCGGACGCTATCGATGACGTTGAGGACGATGTCGATGCGGGCATGGACGTTATAGACGCGGACGTGGGCAGTGAGGAGCACGCCGACGTGGAAGAGGATGATGATGCGAGCGCTGTGGGCGATTTGGGTGAGCTTTTGCGCGAAAAAAGCTTTGTGATCACGTTTGGCTTTGATTTTGGTGGATGTGGCTGTGCTGCTGTCGACGTCGCGGGCGTCGCGTATAGCGTTATGTTGGAGCCGCTAAGCGCTGACAGCGCATTAAAATTGTAGGATGATTGTTCTGGAACGTCTTTAATGGTTTTATTCGGCGGAGGTTTGATGTAGGAACGCGTTAATTCAGATTGCTGTGGGTGAGGAGAAAAATCGCGGTTAAATAGTGTTTTGTGTATAAGCGAATGCACCGAAACCAACCTGATAGCTTGCGCGTAGTTGCATGCTGCGATCCTGACCCCATTCGCTATCCGGGAGCGGCACGTGGTGTGGGCAACGTGGCGTGCGCTGCTGCTTCGGCTGTTTCGCTTGCTGATAGTGCAGATGATGGTCAATGCTGTGACTATTGCAGGAACTATTGCTGCCACAGGAACTGCCCGATATGCTGCTGCCATAGCCGCCGCCGGCGCCACCGCTCCCGCTGCCCATGCTACCGTACTTGAGCGTAGCCGCCTCGATGCCACCGCGCATGAAATTGCTGCTGCTATTGCTGTTGCTAATACTTGTTGTTGTGCTGCGTGCGGGCATGTTGCCATTACGCGTGCTACTTGCGCTGCTGCACGCCGATTGCTGCTGCTGCTGTTGTTGTTCTTGTTGTTGCGTTGACATGCGCTGGTAATGTTGTTGCTGGTTATGGTGGTGTTGATAGTGTTGTTGTTGGTATTGGTGATGATGCTGTTGCTGTTGATGATGGTGGGAATGTTGATTGTGATGCTCTTGATTTAATAGTTGTTGCTGCTGTTGCTGACTCTTATTGCCACTACTATTGGCAGTGGTCATACAAGCGCTCGTACAACCGCCGCTTGTGTTGTTGCTACGGATCACAGTTTCGCTACGTACTAAAATGTCTCGCGCCGGCAGTGTCTCCACGCGCATTCTACAGCTATATTGCCCTCTGTCAGAATGAAAGGGAGAAGAAGCAGAAGGTACATATAATATGTTAGTTTAACGCCTGTCACTCAAGTCTGTGTATGTGTGTGTGCATATATGTGTGTTTGCATTGTCTTATTACCTGTCGTCAGGTGGTGAGTTAAGTGTGGTGCGGGTCGGAACGCCGAGCCGCTCCATTCCCGCGTAGCCGGCAGTCTGTACCGATAGCATCTGGAATAAAGAAGAAGAAAAAACTGTTATATTAAAAAATATTGTTAAGGTCGAATACAACTAAATTTGAGAAGTAAATGTATGTATGGAATATATTGATTTTATATAATCTTCAAATATTAAACATCAACTTTGCTGTCGTCATTTAAGTCTGACAGCTGTTCGGCGACAAAAGCTAGATTTACGAAAACGCTTAACAGCTTTACATAAGATTATTCCTGAGGGACAGAAAAGCCGCCTTTTGCAATGACATTTGTCAACCATAAACACTGTCAATTAATTAGTTGTAGTTACAGCCTAAGCATTAAATAGTATCTGTAGAGGTGATTTCAAATTTTGATCCCATGCTTGCAATAAGAGGCTTATTTGGCACTCCTGTAATAAGTGATTTTTATTTCAATCACGAAACTGTCTAACCCCATTTTAGGTGAAAGACTCGCAAGCGTCGAAGCCTGCTCCGGCCTTTCCTGCCAACAGTCACGCTCGAAGTATAATAAAAAGGACAAATAGTAAGGCACACTTGGCGCTCTCAAGCGTTTGTTACATCCCTATGTATGGGAAATATATGTATATACACACTTATGTATATGCGAACACATGCTTGCAGTGCATGTAAGCATGCACAAATACAAGTCAAAATGCAGCGAATGAGAAGAACACGTTTCCTAAAGATTTTATTTTCTTTTATTTGCGCATTTTTTCTACAATTTTTCTAGCCGGGCAGACTGAGTGTCTGAGAAGACGACGTCGCCGGCGTTGGTGACTGTGACTGCAATACTGTTTGTCGGTTATTACTATTCCTGCTTGCCTGTCTGACTGACAGCGTCTCCGCCATCGCATTTAAGTATCCTACTTGTGTACGTATGTATGTCTGTTTGTATGTGTGTGTTTTCAGATATGAGCATGTGTCTTTTGTTGTAGACATCTTGTGGGTTTTTGACTTTCTATTTGTTTGTCTGGCAACTGTATTACATGCGTGGTTGTTTATATGTACCTATGTATGTATGTGCACTTGTTTGTACCGCCATCTCTACAGAATAGTCACTTTGTTGGAAGGTTTTTGTTTTCAATTTTTTTTGCCCGATTTTTGTACATTTTTCACCACTTCAGCCGGGCAGACAGCATGCTGACGCTGCAGTCGCCTCAGTTGGCGTATTGCCAAGCGAAACAATGTATAAAAAGTCTAAAATATAAATAGAAAAGAACTAAAAAATAAAATTAAAGCAAACACCTAGAGATACCACGAAAACTTAAAGAAGACACATGGGTATGATCCCGGTAATTGACGCAAATGCGATTGTATTTATGTATTTATGTAGCAGCCGAGGTGTTTACAGCTTATTCGGTTTCGAAGAGACAACATTTTAGGGTTTGCAGCGGCAACAAATAATCTTATTTATGGCTAGACAAGGGGCTTAGGGTTTTAAATATTTCAATCATCAGATGAAACGTTTAAAATATTTTACTTTCAAAAACTAATTATATTTTTTATTGTTTCGTAAAATATTTTGGGGCAAAGTATGCTGCAGAGCTACTATTACACAATATATTATATGTACATATCGTCACCTAAAATGCAAAATAACGTAACAACGCTTTTCATAAGTTTACAGGCGAAGGAAAAAACGATAGTTTTTGAAACAAAATTTGAGTTTTGGTTACGAAAAGGATATATATTGGTTATGGGTTATCATACACTCATATTGAAACAAAGTTTGAGTTTTGGTTACAAAAAACGGTTATATAGTGCTTATTAAATATGACAACGATTTTAAATATTTTTTGATGATTTATTGTGTTGCATTTGAACTGACGATATGTAAGTATGTATGTATATATAGCGAGCGACATCTACGATACCATATTTTAAATAAATCTCATAAAGCGCACAAATTCTTTTGGCAACTGCAAAATCACAAAAAAATATAATAAAATAATTTTCGCCCAAATATTGGCACGAAAGATAAATCCACAGCATTTTCGTTCCGTAATAACAACAACAAAAGTCAATACGAAACGAAATGAAATAATAAAATAAACTCAAACGTCAGACAACACTGCCCACCATATAGCACCTATGGCGAGTGACCAAAAATTCATGAATGAAAAACTTTTTCGAAAATTGAAATGAGAAAACGTCTACTAAATTGAATTAAAAATAAAACGAAAATTCCAAAAATAAATAACAGGCGAATTATGAGCACACACTTACGCAAGCATACATGTACATACATATGTATATCGTGTCTATAGGGAGAGTTATTAATTTCAGGTATGCTATGAGGCAATGAAATAAAATTCCTTTAGGACAGCAGCGCATGAATAAGTAAGTTTTTTCGCAACTAATTTAATGCCTTTAAGTATGTAGAAAAAAGTATGCGCATAATCACGTTGCCGCTGTTTGGAGCTTGTAGTTGACCACATAACCTCACTGTCGTGAGAGAGTCTAGCACCAGCGCTGCGCCCACTTGGCTGCAGGAGGTGCTCGCGTTTCGTGTTTCGTTTTTCGTATTTGTTTGTTTTCCTATGCGTTGCGAGTTCCTATTTTGTTTTACTTTACTTGGCTGGTTGTTTTTTGCTTTCCCTACCCGCGCGCACCTATACGCCATGGCCTAGAAGCCAGCCAGTCGACGGTCAACCACCAGCGGCGCGGCTAAGGCCTGCCAACCAACGGTCAGACATGCAGCCAGACAGCCAGCCGGACATTGCACACGGCTACATACTATTATATGTACTTATATTGGACGGTGCCCCGCAGAGTCGGCGTAGCACCGCAGCTGTGGGCAGACAAAACAAAAAATACCTTAACCCCTTCGCACGGGCGCCTCACCGCCCCGTCCCAGCCCACAAACGGTACTCGAATTTTGCAATGACTGCTACTTGGCTTTTTTGCGCTATGCGCTATGCGCTGTTGTTGTTATTGCGTTTGTTGGTGGCTGAACTGTTGTTGACTAGGCATTTATTTATTTAAGTTTAATGTTGTTTTTTGTTTTTTTTTTGCTTTTCGCCTGTCTGCATTCTCCGCCGTTGTTTTTATTTTTTCTCTCTAAATATTTGTGTGCGTTTCATAGCTTTTTCATCTTGCTACATTTGTTTTTGTTTCCTCATATAATAACGTAATTTAATTGTTATTGTTACTGTCTGTTGCAATTACTTGTTTGTTGTTTTGTTTTGAATTTTTTTGGTTTGTTTAAATTTTTATCGCCAAGCGGGCTGTTTAATTATTTATAGTGTTATGGCAGACGCGAAACACACTTTCAAGAAATAAACTCGTGTATTATAGACAATTAATAGTTGCTTGGAAGAAATCAGAACATTATTGATAAATAAATCAGTGAAATAATTGGTTTACAGTTAACTTAAAATGCGAGATACGAACCATCGTATATCTCGAGTTTACAATTTTGTTTCGCAACAGAACGTCAACTGGAGAATGGGTATATAAAAAAAGTTTTATTAAAAAAAAATTGTAAAAAAAACTTATAAAAAAATATTATGACA